TGAAATGGTCTTTATTTCAAATAGAGATACAGTTGTAATGGATTACAGGAGTAAGTAGAAGCTGCACTGACTCTCTCAGGACCAAACTGGAAATACAAGTAAAATACAGAGATACAGTAGTAAACCAAGCAGACAGACTTCCTGCCCACACATTCAAATATGAAGTGACAGATGAGCCCTGTGGCGCTCAGAGTTAGAGGTTTGGGAGATAGGACGAAATGGCCAGAAGGTCAAAAGGAAACTTGACTAGTGCGGTGTCATGGAAGCCAAATGAAGAAACTAGTTTGAGAGAGAGTCGGTCACTGTGTCACATGCTGCAGATAGGTTGAATAAGAGGAGGGATGAGAACTGACCATTGGATATACTATGGTTTCTCTAATTCTCCCCTGACTTATAATGGCTTGTCTTGTTCTAACTTTCCCCCCAGGTTGTAGCAGATACCAATATAAGCGCCATAGCAACTCAGCTTGAAAACTTGTCTACTGGCTACCACCTTGGTTCACCCACCGCTGACCACCACCCGGAAGACACAGAGTAAGTGTTCTAGAGGCAAAGTGCCTATTATGTGTGTGGGCAGTGCTCAGTGAGACCTTTTCCAGCTTAATGTAGAGCAGACTTCCTGGAGAAGAGGAGGGGGAAGTACACACTACTTTTCTAATCTGTAGACAGTCTCCAGGAGAGCACAGGGTCTCATTTCTCACAGAGCTTTGTTCCACTGGATAAGTTCTTAACAGACTGTTGGTGCAGGGCTTCCTGCGTCTGGTCACTTTGACATGTGACGCCTTCTCCCCCAAGAAACCACAGATTCACAGCGCAGGTGCACCCTGCTTGCTTATGCAAGGAATCGGGTTTCCTCAGTTTTCTAAGCAAAATCTTGTAACACTTGCTGGCATCCTTCATTAAAATAAGTCATTACCATGAAAGTTGCTCATTAAGGCAGTGTTTCTCCAACTAGAGTGTGCATAAAAATAATCTAGAGAGCATATTTAAAAATGCTAATTTTGCTGGCCCCATTCTCAGAGATTCTGAGGGGGTGGTCTGCAGTGGGCTACAGAGGCAGAGGACCGGCACTTCAAGAAATGCTGCCTAACGTTAGTCCTCTGAGTATCAGCAACTGCCTGGTCACCAGTAAGTGCTCAATAAATGTTTGTTGACTGATCTGAATGGTTTATTGGAAAGACCTGGTGATCACAGCCATTTCAACTATTTCCTGATATTTTATCAACTTAAATGACACTTTTGGATTTGTTTTTCTTGAGGAAAGGATATTACACTAAGTTCATTTTACTATGTTCTCATTATGAGAGTAATAAATGCATGCTTTTAAAATATGACAAATACATGAAAGTATAATATTTTCAAGTTGAAAATGGCCCTTTCTTTAAAAAAAAAAAAATCAGGACCCTTGTAGGAAGAGTAGTATACATTTAGCAGTTTTTGATACCCATTTTAAAAAAAAAAAGTGTTGATTTCAGAAAGGAAGAGAGAGGGAGAAAGAGAAACATCAATGATGAGACTCATTGATTGGCTGCATTCTCCCTACTGGACTTAAGCCCCCAAATCAGGCATTTGCCCTGACCAGGAATTGAACCATGACCTCCTGGTTCACAGGTTGACACTCAACCACTGAGCCATACCAGCCAGACAATATCTTTTTTTATTCCACAGCTGCACAGCTCCTGACAAGTTGAGAACCACTAGCTTAAGAGAATTTAAATCACTTATAATCCAACCACTATTAACATTCAGAGATTTTTTTACTAGTATTCTAGATGAAAAATTATAACTAATTGAAAATGTGAGATAAATGGAGGCAAAGTCCATCGGATGTTGCCAGTTGAGAAGTGGAACGCATTCCTCCCTCTCCCCCTGAAATAGATCGCTAACTGGCAATAGAGGGGATTAGGAAGGTCTCTAATGATTTGTTGCCCCCCAGGAGCTAGTTCTAAAACAATGGCTTTAGACATCTAGGTTGCCATTTCAATATTCTTGGAAATGGGGGCTTGTGTTTGAAAGAGGAAACAAATCAAGTTCATGTCTAGCCAGTGAGTCATTATGCGAGTACTTATTAAGCCACCAAGTGATGAAAGGTAGAGCCTTATTCATGACGTCATTACCATTCAGCCATAGGGGATTATTCATCATTATTTCATCGGATATTTATTGAGTGCCTTGCTAAGGCTCGACACTGTACAAGTGCTGGGTCCCGAGGATTCAAACTTAGAAACATAGGTGAAGGCATTGCCCCAGTCCTCAAGGAACTGCCAGAGAACCATAAATCTGTGGTTATAAAAGAGTTGATAAGTATCGGAGAGCTAAATTCATTGGGAGAGATAAGCAAGCCCAGGGTCCTGTAAACCCATGGGAGAGGAGCACATCTCAATTAGGGAGTGTACTTGGAGGCACTAATGCTAAAGCTGAGTTTTTTTATAGTAATTGGAAAAAGCAGGAATTACATTCAAAACAGTCAACAATGTATACGATATAGACATTCAGCAATTACTATGGATGCCTGCTATACACAACCAATGAGAACTTCAACAAACAATTGGTATCAGTGTGAACCAGCTGAAAATCAAGCCTAAAATCAGCCAGGCAAAATTGGGAAGGGGCAGAGGGGAGAATATTCTAGTCAGACAGAACAGCATATTCAAGGGTTGCTTGTGTCCCAGTTTTGCAAATTTTTCTAACTGTGTGAATGGCTGAGTTTACACCACCTGGCTCTGCCACAAAACAAGTGATGCTGCCAGGATACAGATATGAGCCTCCTTCTGCAAATAGGACGACAGGGTCTGCGATACCGGAGTTCCTCATGTGTTTACCCTGTGGACAACCACATTTGGGAATAAGAGGCTGGTATGAGTTAAGCTTAGATGGAACTCCTTGAGCTCACATAGGTAATGTAATGTTTAGCCATGTTGTTTCTGAGAGAGATGACTTCCACACTGGACGAAGCTTTGAAAATCTAAAAGATACATTGGAAACACATTGCCTTTATCCATGTTGCTCTACCTTGGTTTCCGCCCCCCCTCTCGCCCCCCTTGATTTCAGTTCTCGTTGACACAGTCATGATCCTGAGTTTGTGATAGGCACAGTGCATGGTGCTAGGAATTCTCAGATGACTAATACTTCAGGAGTTCATGGTCTGGTAGGGGAGAAAGAGGGTTAAGTAATCACAATACACTATAACAAGGGCATCATGGAAATCTGGGCCGAGTACAAAGGGAGCACCAAGAAGGAGTGGCTAACTCTCCCAAGGGAGTCATGGAAGCTCCACGGTGGAGGTGGCTTTTGAAGAATGACTGCCCACCTTAGATGGAAGTGGTGGAGCAGGTGCGTGAGGGTGTTCAGGCAGGAAAAGAACAGCAGTTTCGTTTACTAAGTTATCAGGCCGCCGTCACCTGCTCAGGACACAAGTCCACCTGCAGACTGGCAGTCTACACTAAGCTAAGGTTTTGCCCCATGCACATTCTTTAAGGATGTAAAGACAGTTCCGTTCAGTTTTCTTAGAAATCTCTGTACTGATTTTTATAAAGAGAGGAAGGGAGAGGGAGATAGAGAAACATCTATGTGAGAGCAAAATATCAATTGGCTGCCTCCTACACGCCCCCTAACTGGGGTCAAGCCCACAACCCGGGCAAATGTCCTGACCAGAATCAAACTGCCACCTTTCAGTGCACAGGACAACGCCCAACCAACTGAGCCACGCTGGCCAGGGCTCCAATCAGGTTTAAACAGTCAACTTAAGAGTTTAAGCATAGAGAAGGATGCTTTGACCATTTCAGGATCATGACTTTATTTGTAAATAAAAAACCGTGGGTTATATGAAAGAGAAACCCCTAAAACATCAAGGGGATGACCATCATTGGTCATTAATCCAGCATGATATGGGAAATTTTTTTTAAATGTTTCTAGATTGCTCTCTCAGAGTTTAATTTGATCTTAACAGTTTCGCAGTATGAAAGTCTCTCTCAAATCTGTGTTCTTCCATGAAAATGAAATTCCTTTTCAATATCTATGCTTCAATTAAACAGCATGCATTGTGTTTTCAGAACACCTCCACCTAAGATTATTACTTTGGAGAAAGGCTCTGAAGGATTGGGGTTTAGTATTGTAGGGGGTTATGGAAGTCCCCATGGAGACCTGCCAATTTATGTCAAGACTATATTTGCAAAGGTATTTTTTCCTTTTTTACTGTACTTATTTTTTTTTAATCAAACCTAGGTGAGATTTTTTTTAAGTGCTTTGGTTTATTTGGGGCTATACCTGGATATGTACATGTGTGTTTATTTCATTTTAATCTCATAGGAAATTCCTGTACCACACTGGTGAAAGAAGAGTTCTTTTATAATAGTGGAGTCACAGAAATGTAATTTTCTTTGGACTCTATAACAAAAGTAGATGCTGGTAGTTTTTAATGATCGTCTTCTTTCAGCAACACAATATCAGGAGCAGTACCATGATCTTTGGAAGCTGATCTTGGTATGGCTGTGGGCTAGAACAAAGATGTGTTCTCCTTTAAGAAAAGGTAGCAGAAAAGAAAAAAAAAAAAGAAAAGGTGGCAGACACAGGAGGGACACATGGCATAAAGCTTTGTACAAGCCTCGGATCAGTGCAACATTCCTGGCTGCCCATCACCAAAACCCTCAGGACACTTGAGCGTAAGGTGGTTTCTCTCTCACGATGCTCTGCCAGGTACTTACTTGCAGAACCAGCCCAGGAAGTTAGATCCTGTTTTTCAGGGATTAGATATTCCAACGCATCCTACTGAACACACAGGTCACGGTGTGCACGCTTCAGACGGCTCTTAGATAAGCTCTTTTTAACTTCATTAGGATTTTTAAAGTCCGAATTTCATCTTATTATAAACTTTGAAGAGCTTTGAAAAGTATTCACTATTGATATTGCAATTTTCTCATTGATTTTTATCACAGTCATTTGTTTACGTATTAATTGATCCGATTGTCCCCTTTAGCTTTACTTCCCTAAAGAAATAAAGATCTTTAAAAAAAAGTTGGTAGTTTCCCTTTCTAGAAAGCTATACTATACACTCACTACAGCCCA